GTGTGTGTGTGTGTGTGTGTAGGTGGTATCTGAAGATGCTGCAGTGTTTCAGGTGTCAGCAGTGGTTCCATGAAGCTTGTATCCAGAGTCTGAACGAGTCCATGATGTTCGGAGACAGGTAACCTGACACCACACCTGTCCTCTGACACCTCACCTGTCCCTTGATACCTTGCCTGTCCTCTGTCTGACTCTCCCCAGGTTCTACCTCTTCCTGTGTTCAGTCTGCAGTAAGGGAACAGAGTACGTCCGTCGTTTGTCTCTCAGGTGGGTGGATCTGGTTCATCTGGTTCTCTACAACCTGTCCGTCAGCAGCAAAAAAAAATACTTCGAGCTGGACGAGATCCTCGCCTTTGTTTCCACCAATTGGGAACATCTACAGCTCGGAAAGGTGACAAATTGAGTCAAACTGGACCAGCACCAGACTAAGCTAGACCTGGATCAAACTAAATTTAAGTAACTCTTGTTTGTGTGTTTGTTGTGTAGCTGTCAAATACTCCTCCAGCAGACAGGGGGCAGTACCTTCTGGATGCTCTGAACAAATACAAGAGCAAGTAAGTGCCACAAAGCAGCAGCATGTTGACCTGATTCACATGGTCCAGTTTTCATCTGGTTCAACATATCCATTCTTTCAGTTATCCAGCTGAACCTAACCATCACAGTCAGGCTAGTGGTCACATGATGCTGGTTAGCAACTCATTTAGTTAACTCAGGTTTTCCTGATCAAGATATGAGCATGCGTGCATGAAAGGGTATGAAAATGTTGAAGAGGAGAACATACACAGAATATTTGGTTTATACTGCAGAAGACAAGACCTTTTAATCTCATCAACACATTGAAGAGGAGAATATTTAGAAAAAGCAGTCATCTTTAGGTTTTACACGCTGCAGTTTACGGATTAAATCACATGTTCCACATTTTTACTGTAGTATTGTAACTTTAAGTTAAGGTTTGAAATTTTGAAAACAGTTTACTTCTGTTTTGAGAGCAGACATGTCTCAGGAGATGTAACTTCACTGAACCAGGTCTGTGGATGCAGAGCTCCCTCTGTGTGTGCACCGAGCTAGAATCTGAACCAGAATATGATTCAGAACATTTTAATTATGAAACGTCCTCCTGATACAGCTCTCACTGAATGTGTGTTTTCCATGTTTCACCTCTTTTGGTATTTTGTGTTCACTGTTAGCAGCAACAAAATATAACAACTTTTTTTTACATTTTGAGTCCAGTGCTGCATCTTAAGATTTTCATTCAATTCTTCCTTAAATGTTTCTAAGATTGCTCTGCAGTTTAAGAATGTGTCATGAATCTGATGTAGCGTTTTCTTAGAAAACTTCTTAAGAACAAATTTAAGAAAACTTTTAAGAAGGAATTGGTGAATGAGGCCCATTGCTCCTACGGGTCGGGTTGGTTCTGTTGGGCTCCAGCAGCTGACAAAGGTTCATCCTCTGAGGAGAATCTAGATCTTTCAAAAACTCATCAGATCAGGATCTTGTGGGTCTCTGAAGACCCTGGACCTCCTCAGAGACAAGAACAATCCACACCAGCTCCACGATCCTTTAAGAACATGATGTCATGGTTCAAATGTGGGAACTGATGGTTTCTCTATATTAAATATGATTTGAAGGTCTTGACCTTTTATGTAAAGAACATTGAGATAATGTATATTATGATTTGGGCTTTACAAATAAAATTGACTTGAATTCAGAGGAAGGGATTGGTCAGTGGGCGGAGCTTTTATATAGTTTGATCTCTTTTCTTCAACTTAACCTGGAGCAGGTTAGCTGTTCAGCATAAGTTACCATGGTGATTTCCCTGACAACAAGTGAATGAGCTTCGTAGGACTGAAAACTCCCTGATGGTTACCCCGATAACCGCAGATCCTGCTTCGTAGTACAGGCCCCTTGTTCTCTTGTGCAGGTTTCTGTGTGGGAAGGAGATAAAGAAGAGGAAGTGCATCTTTCGTCTGAGGACTAGAGTTCCGCCTAACCCCCCCTCCAAGCTTTTTCCAGAGCGTGCTCAAAATGAAGGGGGACGGAGCCTCAAGAACGGTGTGGACAGAAACAGGTAGTTGTCATGGTGACAGTGTGGGAATGCCATCACCTGACCTGCTCAGTCATATGACACCAATGTGCTGTGTTTGTGTTCAGTGCTTCAGCCAAGAGGAAGAGGAGGAAGTCTAAGTGGCTGCTAGAAGACGCCATCCCTAACGTAGGACTCCTTTCCTTCTGTTTCCTGTTTCCTCAAGTGTCAAATCAAGAGACAAAAAGGTTGTTTGTGTTTGTTGTTTGTAGAACGAGTCGTCCTGCAGCTGGACGTCCAACCACCACATGGCCAACTTCTTCGACTTCACCCTGGATGAACTGCAGAGCCTCAAGAGGTGAAACCAATCAGTACACTTCAAATTATCAGTGATCAGCTGATCACTGGCACCATGTGATTAACTCCTCAAAAAATCAGTCAGCTGATCAGTTTTTGATGTCCTCAACTCCTCCAGTAGAACCATCAGTATTGATCAGGATTCCACTGATGCCTCCACCTCAGGTTCTGCTACGACCAGCGCCTCCTACCACCTCAGGTAACTGACGTTACCTAACAGTTAACTTATGTTCACTAACATTTAACAAACCATTCAATATTAAAGTTGACCTCTGACCTCAGGAGGAGGGTGGGCAGCAGGAAGAGGAAGTTGCCCAGCTACAGCCAGTGGGCCAGTCGCAGTGAAGCAGGGGAGGAGCTTACTGGGATATTGGAGGATCCAGAAGCTATAACCCACGCCCATCTATCATCAAACTCCTCCCATTTCCTTTCCAACCCCTCCCAGCTGCACTCTTCCATCTCCTCGTATTTTGGAGTGGCGGGCAGACTGACCAATGGGGAGAGGTACCAGGTGCTGGCTCGACGAATCACTCCACAGGGGACGGTCCAGTACCTGCTGGAGTGGGAGGGGACAACACCATATTAGGATGTTTTCCTGGGGCGCTCTGATTCCTCTTCCTCCACTCACTGGTTCTGCTGATTGGTTGAAATCAGAGCTCAGTTAATCATTGTATTTACTATCTCCATGACAACGATCCACCCAACTCATCTCCTGGTTCTAGGACGTTGCTTTTAGTCAATGTTTTTAAGAACACTGACGTCTTTTTTTTACAGAAATAGATAATGAAAGAACATCTGTTTTTATTCTTAGCTGCGGAGCAACAGTGTTCCCATGACAGCAAGTTAGACCCCAACATCAGAACAATGTCCTCACAAAACCCCGTTCATGATGCTATAGTCCTCAGTCTGTCCCCTCTAGCATCTGTCAAACGTGTCCCCGTAAACCTGTATCAGACACGTGTCCCCGTAAACCTGTATCAGACACGTGTCCCCTTAAACCTGTATCAGACACGTGTCCCCGTAAACCTGTTTGATGTTCACGTGTTTGTAGGAATCGGGAGTCTGAAAATAAAGTGAAAACTAAATGTTTGTGTATAAACAGGCACACACACACTCAGTAGTGTTGCATTATGTGTTTTCAGTAGTTTAAACATGTTTGTTCTTATTTGTAAATGGTCAGTGGCTCCTGTAGTTTTCTGTAGCGCCCCCTGGCTGTCAGACAGCACACTGCCTCACATTTCCTCACCTGTCCTTACCCATATCCACCTCACAGTTAGCAACATCTGTGGTGACCTCTTCGGGTGTTTCTAATGCGTTGATAAAATTACCATCACTTTCTTTCTGTGACCGACTGTCGGGATCAAAGCTCCGATACCAAAACTACTAAAAACAAGAAACTATAAATCCCAGCTTCCCAGAGCTGTGTTTTTGCACTATGACATTAAATATCTATGCAAACGTCAAGAGAAACTGATAAACGATCATAGATGTTAATCAGTGATCAGGAGCTGTGTTTTGTTCATGTGAATTTGATATAGTTTGATGTTAGCTCATAGCTAACAGCCCATTGTTTAGAAAGAGGAATGCTAATAGTGCTAAAACTCTCTGAGCTGTTAAACTGTCACTTTTAATCTCCTCTTCTCTGCCATGGTAACCACGCCCCTTTACCATTGGATGGTTGTTGTGATCATGTGACAATTTTTCCTGTTGAGCTGACCAATCAGCTGCCAGCTTTCTCTGGAATAAAAGATGATTCTTGAGCTTTGAACCTTGTGTGTGTGTACATGCACTTTTTTGTTCCAGTAAGAACACTGACTTTGTCAGGACCAGTTTACCTCATGTGGACCAGAGCTCGATCCTGGGGACATCCTGGGGATGTCTTGGTGAAGGTCTGAGGTGAATTGTGGGTAAATAAGGTTTGAGTTAGTCATGAACTGGTTAATGTTCAAGAAAATGTTTGTCCCTGATGAAAAAAACGTCCTGATGAAGGAAGCTGCACAAACCTGTGTGTGTGCGACAGGTGATAATCTTTTAAATCCATTAAGGTGTTAACAACACGTGAATCATCAAAGGGTACCATCAGACAGACGGGTGCTCAGACAGACAGGTTAACTGGACTAACAAGAAACAGACACGGGAGTCTACGTCTACCTGTCTGTAAGTTTACCTGTCTGTCTCTACATGTGTCTGTAAGTTTACC